AAAAGCCTCAAAAATAAGTAACTAAAAGTCAGATATCATGGGGAGCCTGCTTGGATAATTTGCCTGTAAACGTTATCCCCTAGACTCACGTTCATAAGCAAAAACATCAGAACTTTCATTCAGCTGAAAAGAAAAATATCTTGTAAGCGGGCAGCAGGGTTGGCCCTTATCTCTGTGTGGATCTCCATAAATAGAAACCCTAACCCCTGAGACTATCTACAGGATTTCTAGAGTTACCATTTCACGGGCTTCAGTGTTGTGTTCTATAAAATCACCGTTTGAACAGTGTTTTTCTTGTTTTGTTTTTTCCCACTATGTTTTCCTTTTAATGTTATTACAGAAAGAAGGTTTAAAAGTAAAGCTTCTTGTTTTCAGATTTCAGCTCCACGAGGGGGTGAGACTTCATATGTTTTGGCGATGGGATCTTGGCTAAATTACCTACCGAATTACACTGAGTCTGTTTTCTCACTAATGAAATAAGGTTATTGGTGTCTCCCTCATGATGGTCTGGGCGTGGCTTAGTGTCTGGCACCTGATCCACCAGTAAATGTGGTCTTTGTTTTGATGTATTCGCTGAATAATTTACACCTTCAAAGCACGCAAGGAAAATCATATACCAAATGTATATATTTCACATAATATCTTGCAACAAGAGAGTCAAGACCTATTGCCTTCTATAAGAATTTTACCGGAATGTAAACGAAATAAAAATCTTCACAACTGGGTCAATAAGCAACTTCACAGTAAATAGAAAAAAATTAAATTATCAAATTTCATTTTAGTTGTACCCACAATCAATGCTCATGGAAGTATCAGTCAAGAAATCAAACAATATATGCATTGGTCAAATCTCCTGCTAAAGATTCCTTTGCAGAGTTCAAAAGCAACTGATGTCACTTGGAAGACTAAGGAGAACTTGACCCAAGCACTGGCTCTTTTCAATCCCCTCCTCATAAGCATGTGAAAGCTGGACACTGAACAAGGAAGCCTGGATACGAATGGATGCAGTTGAACTATGATGTTGGTGAAGAATGTTAAATACACGTGGGACTGCCAGAGAGGAGCCCTGGTGGTGTAGTGGTTATGCATTGGGCTACGATCCTCAGGGTCTGCAGTTCAAAACCACAGTAGCTCCATAGGAGAAAGATTGGGCTTTCTATTCCTATAAAGAGATAACGTCTTGGAAAATTACAGCAGCAATTCTACCCTGTCCTATAGGGTTGCTCTGAGCTGGCATTGACCCAACGGCAGTGAGTTCAGTGTTTCATTTGTTTTAATAACAAATTTGTCTTAAAAAAAGACTCCTTCGAAGAAAGGGTGGTGAGACTTCATATGTATTTCAGACATGTTATCAGAAGAAACCAGTCCTTGGAGATTGATATCATGCTTTTTAAAGTAGAGGATCATCTACAAAAGAGCTGAAGACACTTAACGAAGTAGATGGCTGCAGAGACTAACCAGGGCTCCACCAGAGGAATGGCTGTGAGGGTGGGACAGGACTTTGAAGTGTTTCATTCTGTGGTGTATGAGTTGGAACCTATCTGATGACTTCTAACAACAAAAACAACCCATTTGGGGGCACATGGTAAATACTCAATAAATATTGCAAATTAAACTGGAAAAACAATTATTATGAAGAAAGAGGTACATGCGAGCCATATTTCTTCATGGAAACAAAATCACAATAACTGAAGAACTGTATCTGATCATCGCTCTGATATTCATGATGATACTTTGCAGCTTTATAAAAAGTAGAAAAAGCTTTATGAAATACAAACATTGTTTTCTTTGACTAAAAAGACACCGTGTAGGTCAATTATGAACAATTTTAAAGTACATCAAGGTTAATCAGAAACCCTGAAGGAAAAACCAATGGGTAAAACACTATGAGACAGATGATAGAACCATCTGTAAGTAGCCTTAATTTTAACTTGAATTTTAAAAACGCTTTGGATTCCAAAATAAAAATTATTCATGATGTTTTTAATCTGAATGCCAGTGAACTGCATAATCTTGGTATTATAGGTTTTCTTTTCCTTGGGCATGAAATATGTAAACTGTACCTTCAAATTTCTCATTTTATTTTAGCAGAGACCATATAAATGTTGTTTAAAATGCCATAATGAAGCAATGAAAACTAATTCTCTAGTGTCTAAGAAAGGCTGAGCTCATAAATTAATAATTACTATGCACATGTGTAAATTTCTATTACAAGGTCTCAAAGTTGTATATGTGTGTGTCCATTCCAAAATAATCTAAAATGGTTTTTATTTATTTACAGTACTTGTCTCTTCATTAACTGTCTGTTTTGTCCTGTATTTTCTTTCAATGAATAGTCCACACTCAAATTGCATATTGGTAACTATATTTTAAACCAAAAAATTCCTCACATAATAAATACATTTTATGCACATTAACTTCAAATTTACTTCAGAAAGCTATTTACAATATAAATAATTATAAATGAAAAACACTTTCCAAGATATCATTGACATAGCTAATATTTCCTACTTTACATTCCAAAGTAAAAGTCCAAATTACAGATTTATACTACGATGTCACTAGAAACTATACATTGCAAGATGGTATTTGAAGTATTGGCAACCGGTTGCTTCTTTCACAAATATAATCCTTTTTTATAGCATGTCAATCAGAAAAACAAACATAAAATATTTTCATTTTTGAAATGCCTGCTCCTATGTTCTTAAAACATTTCCCTTTAGATTAAAAAAAAAAGGTACAGTACCTCTAAAAAAAATTTGAAGTCAATTTCATTTCTTTGAAATGTAAACACACCAGGGTAGTTGGGCAAAGATTCAACTGGTATTAAACATATCCCATATCAGCAAATTAGGACAAACCCCACACTGTATAGGTTGATGAAAGCAAAGTCCCATGCAGCAGAATTGCAATAAATAAACTGTAATTGTTGAGAATAAAATGACCAATTGGGATTCTTATGTGAACTATTTCTCTTTAGGGAGCACAGCAGAACAGCATCGTGTTATGTGCTTTATAATTTATATTTCTTCATACAGAACTAGTGGGGGGGCTCTGAACAAACCCCTGTTTGGAAATGAACACAATCTCACCTTTGAGTTAAGCACTACCCGTACAACCTTTGTGCAGAAGAAATGAGCACCAGATGGCACAGACCCCCAAGAACATTTTCTATATATGATACCCTTTGCATATGCCGATAGTTGTTCTTTGACTCACTTCCCACTGAGAAGGAAAATATTCTACCGACAATATGTTTCCCAGGAAGAACTAGCCAATAGACCATGCTGTCTTCAGGTCCAACCTCTCCATGAAATCTGGTGTTAATGTGAAAGGTGAATCACTTATCTGAGGAGCCACAGAACTTACATTCTTTCTTAAGTTGGTCAGAAAATGGGGTGGATGTCTAGATCCAATCATCGGAGAGAACTCTAGAGCCAAATCTGATCATTTGAGCTTTTCCAACCAAAGAGGGTGTTAGTAGAGTGTAAGTTATTCCACTGGGCAAAGTGGACAACCCCAAATCACCAAAGACTGAGTTTTCCAACCATCAGCATTCAATGACACTCCCTAACACTACCAGTCCTAATAGAATGGTCCCCAAACATGAATGATCCTGCTCTAGAAAGAGAGAGAGAGAGAGAGAGAGCTTTAAAATATTAAAGCAGTATTCCGAATGTCTCGTTCACTATGGCTTCTTCTATCAAAACCAATCCTGAAATAACAGTCATTGTCAACATACATCAGCTTTGGGTTGGTTGAACTTTGATAGGTCTTTATCCAAAAAAAAAAAAAAGTGTGATAAAACTTTTATCCGTAAAAAAAAAAAGTTTTGTATGAAACAAAGTATTTAATGACTATGAAATATGGGATTGAATTGCGGGGGAGGCTCATTTATTTTAAAATACCTTAGCATATTTTCCAAAAATCTTTTATTGGAAGAGATTATCAAGCCCCCTTTTTAAAAAGGATAAGAAAAATGAAGCATAGTACTCTTTTCTAGAAGATCCTATCAAAGCAGATTTTAAGCGGGCTCCCCTGCCCGGAGGCAGCATGTGGCAGCAGGTTGTCGTGAGAATTCAGAATAGGACCCAATGGAAATAGTCTCAGTCCTATCAGATATAATCAAGAGAGAAAACGTGGTTTTGCTGTTTCAACACTAAAGGCAAAAACCATTCACTGTATGCTGACTTACTTTGAATGTCACATCAACACTGTGGCAGGTCATCTAGCATCCGGCAATTACCATTTAGAAACGCTAGCACATGATATTCAGGATTTAAAAAGGCAAACTCAAAAACCACACTCAACTGCAACTGAAAGTGGCACGGGCAGAGGACAACTGCCCTTTGGGGTTCCTGGGGCTTTAAATCTTTATGGGAACAGGAAGCCTCGTCTGTCTCCTGCCGAGCAGACGATGAGTTCAAACTGCTGACCTTGCCGTTAGCAGCCCGACTCCCAACTCCCTCTGCTATTGGGGTACCTTCATATTCAGTATAGTATTTCAAACGCCTGGTGGAGCCAAAGCAAGCCCACATTTCTGACCTGTATTAAGTATGGCACTAACACTATACATTTAAAATAATACACCAAATCTGACTAGCTTCTCATAATTTTAACAAAACAAATTTTAATAAGTTAGGAGAAATACTGTGTTCATATAGTTTTTTGCTATCCATATTTTTTAATTAGGTAGGCAAGCAACCAAGGGCTGTAAAGATATTCTTTCAATTACTAGAAAGTGTGAGCTTTTGATCATCTAATGATTGAAACCTATTGTATCAGTAATTGGATCGAGCACGTTCTTCTGATCCTGTAGATTGCGGTTCTCAACCTTCCTAATGCCGCGACGTTTTCAGACAGTTCTTCATGTGGTGGTGACTCCCAACCATCAAATTATTTTCGTTGCTACTTCATCACTGTCATTTTGCTACTGTTATAAATCGGGCGACCCCTGTGAAAGGGTCGTTCGACCTCCAAGGGGGTCGCCACCCATTGGTTGAGAACCGCTGCTCTAGAGGATATAAAAATTATTGTTTCAAATAAGTGTCATGGTGCTCCGCATTTAGCGAAGTTCTAAAACTCCAAGATTAGAACTGAAACCAATTTAACTTTAGCTGATTAAGCTCTTGGGCACCTTTATTTCATATCCGGTGTAAAATAAGGGCGGGGCCTCTGCGGTACCTTGAGTTCCGCCTGGTTGGGCTGCTGATGCCAGGTGCGAAGCCCTCGCTGCTCGGCGGCAGAGGTGGGCTTCGGCGGAGATTGCGTTTGGGAACCAGAGGAGCGGTTCTCACTCTGCCCTGCGAGTTGGATGGCAGGGATGTGTATTCAAGAAAGACAGAAATGATATCTCTGCATTTGGAGGAATAATTTAGGCTATAAGTTAATTTTAACATATCCATGTGTATATATATATTATGAAGGTACCTTTTCATAAATGCCTTAACTGACTATGGTCATTTTGCAGTAAGAATGCCATATTGAAAAGTAAAGTATATCATACAGTGGGCCTTTAAGGCATCGTATGTAATGTAGCAAAGCTGATTCTATAAAATGATTGGCACTGAGTAAATCAAATGGACGGCTATATATTAAAACTGGGTCGATTTAATCAAAATGTGATTTAGTTAATTCTGTCTTCTGTTCAAAGTACTACTCATACCATTTAAAGGAGCACTGTTCCTCCCAGTAACCTCTCTTCATGGAGCTCAGAGTTTATTTCTTACACCAATTAACTTCTTACATATAAAAATTCCACTGACATTCCTTTAGCGAAGTCTGTTTTTTTCCGTTATCAGTTAATTTTCCTTGGTTCTCAAGTTTCCATCTCTCTTCTAGCATCTGTCCTTGAGCTATTTCGAATAATGCACACCCATCAGTCAAGCCCATTTACATGGGTTTCCTTCCCGAACACATCATTGCTTTCAGACATTTGTGCCCTGGGCCCATTTATCCATCTACACAATTCTAAACAAAAACTTTCGCATTCCTAAAATCTTACTTCGTGTGGCAAATTAATCAAAAATCCATTTGGGGCTTCTCAGGAAAGTTTTCTTAAAAGGACGGGAGAGTTTACTTTTATAATTCAGAATTTGACTTTCATTGTCCTTGAGCTTTTTTGAAAGTACACATTAGAACCCCTCACTTTCTCAGTTACTTGTGCTGTTGCGTTTACAACACAAATGTCGCTCTGTCATACCCAGGCCGGGCTTACTGCTCTGAGGCGCCTCGCTGAGATTATCATCCTGCAGATTGTCACCTACCTACATATAGACTGTCACGTCCCTGTGCTCACTGGTGAGAACTTAGTACTAATCCCTGAGTGGCTCATGTCCTGTTCGGATTTCAAAATTGTAAGTCAAGTTCTTTCAGTACCCCCTGCCTGCTACTGGACTATGGCAGGATTCCAGGGGTGAGACTTCTGGGAAAGGTCTTTCAACATTTAGGTCATTTGGTTTTGACTACCAGAGAAGAGTGTATTACAAAAATCTTACTGAGTTTTCCTCTCCCTCATCAGTTTCTGCCGTCTACATTTTGGCTGAATCTGGAAAGTTGACCACAGAAACACATGCTGGAGAGAGAGAGGAAGGAAAAAGGCCCCTGCCCTTGCTTGAGTTACAAGGCTTTTCTACCTCCGTGTGAATGCAGGGTCAGCCTTGACCACTCACCGCGGAGCATTCACTACTCTACCAACAAACCACAGGATCTTGGAGCTCCCTGACCGATCAGGAAACACCATGTAGATGTGAAAAGGGAGGCACACTATATAATCTGCCGATGGCCCGGGTCAGCACAAGAGCCCAGAGATCTTGGCATGTCCTCGGCTGGTCTCGCTGTTATCCCAGGTGTCTGTGTTTGGTTACCGGCAACAGGGACACAGCCCTGTGACAGCCTCCTTCACTGTCCTCTTCCTCCTGACTCTCCGCCGAGGCTCCCACGCCCTGCCACCTTTGCACGGCTGTGTGCTGAAGTGTTTCCACACACTTACATTGTTGTCACGTGGCGCTTTCCTGGGTTTCCTCGGTGATTTTTCATATTATCAGCCTTTTTTCCTTAGTTAATTGGCTTGAATTTTGTGTTTGGTGGGTAAAGCCCCAAGTGTGTTGATTATTACTATGTGGCAAACCCATTTGGAGTTTTAAATTGTTTGTTTTTAGATACGGTTTCATTTCTCTCTGCCTCTGGTCTTTGCACCTTCGCTACGCTACTCTCAGTGTGGGTGCCAGCGTCTCCGTGCTTCTCCTGAGCACAACTCCCAACTGCGAAGTCAGTGCCGTCCTGCTCCTTGTCAGACTGACTCTAAATGTCGGGTGAAAAATCATCCCTTCCTGATTGCTTATGATTGATATGGTGAAAACTCACTGGTGTCCCGTACACAGGGCCATCCCCCTAATTTATGCCTGAGCCAAGTGTCCCCACCGAGTCACAGTCACAAAGAAACCAGTCCGCAAAATGTGTCTCTCTCTCCCTCTTTCTTTCTCAGTTATTGTGGGAATAGACATCTCTTGTAGCATTTAGAAGCTTAATAGGCTAGGGTTGAGAAAAGTCACACCTTTTTGGTGTAATTTGTGACCCAGATTCTAATTCCTACCTGTGTACACGGCAGTGGTGAGCAGCAGTTTGGGTGTGTGATGCTATGGGATCATCACAATGCAATGTTGGCATCTATCAGTCTTTTCATGGGGTCCGGACCACCGATCTACGTAAGGGTTTCTCAGTGCAGTCTTCGTGTCCGGTTCGCACGTAGCGAGAGGGGCAGTGTGTGAAGCCACTTTCGCTCATTATCTGTGTTTAACTCTACATGTGAGTGCTACGCTTTCTTTGTTTTTACAGGAACACATGTCAACAACCCAGGAACTTAAGTTATCCTCACTACTAAGCTGTGGCATAGGAAATGCTGATAATGGGGCATTCAAACATAAATATGCTTCCGAGATCCGTAAAGAACACAATATTTTAGAAAAACATCAGCTTCCATTGGTTATTATAACAGATGTTCCCTTGTGTCCTTGTGAGGGGTCTGGCTGCATCCTTAGATGGGAAGTGACATCAAAGTGTGAGCCGTTACAGCCCAAGGAATAGTTTCTAATGGTTTCGCTGTCATATAAGTGCTCTAGAGCATACCCAGTTAATGTGTAAGCATGCTTATCAAAATACTGCCGGTGAGAGCCAAAGCAGTTTGGAGAGCTGGCAGGATGGTCTCCTGCTGTCTGATGAGGAGAGATGCCCGAATGTAGGTAGTCTTTAGCGAGGATCAAGCTGGATTTTGAAATGCGATCCGAATTGGGGCTACTTATCCGGGACAGTGCAGTGGGACTGTTGTCATAGTCGTTTTCATGGGGACTCAGCATCTTCCCCTCTCCCTGTTGGATGTGGTCGCACGGTGAAGTATTGGCCGCAGCTGAGCCGTGGCAGACCTCGCCTGTCGGCAGAGGCTGTGGGTAGTTTGCAAAACAAAGGGGGTGTTTTTTCCCAGCTCCATTAAGGGAAGCCAATTGGTCTGGGGGTGCTTTCCTTAGCTGCAGTCTGTTCTCTTCTTCTTTAATCATCTGCTGGGTGGCTCTAATCAGCGTTTCGATTTTGCTGGGTTCATGTGGGCTACTATAGGGCTCCGTGCGATATTGGTCACCTGACTCGCTAGCAGATCCGGGGTCTGGAGAACTCACCGCACTATCTTCATCCCAATGACCTCGCCCTAGAAATTAGAAAAAGCCAAAAGTAAGTGAATTTAAAACTGACCGAAAGAATTATAAGTATGTTTCTTTTTCCTAGGAGGAGAAACCTTTAATCTTTCACTTTTAAGATACGCACCAATATTTGAAACAGACACTGGCTCACAAGATAGACTGAGTGTCATCTTATTGTAATGGAATTCATATTTCTTGGTGGCTTTTAAGTGCAGATGACATTTATAACAAGCTCCTCAGAAGGTTAGCTGTGTTCGTGTGTTTGTGAATACCAACTAGCAAAATGGTAGAATATGTGTACCCCTCCATGCATGTGTATCATTTTATCTTTTGTATAAATAATAAAGCAAAAATGCATATTATTTGGCTGATGCTATTTTCTACATCAGTGTCATGTTCATTGGGTTCATGAGAAATATTTTCATTTGGATTTAGAGAAGATAGGACTTAATTATCTTGATTAGAAATAGATCATCTAAATAGACTTCTAAGCTTAATGAGCCTACCACCCACCCTCTTCAGGGGAAAAAAAAATCTCAGTGCTATCCTGGAAATTAAAAACATTTGTACCACACCTTATAATCCAGGATAAAGTATAGGTATCTGCTTTTGCAGCCCTCCTGTATCATTCTAGTGCCCCCCCCCAGGGGGTAGTACCATCCACTTTGGGAAACATGGATCTAAAACATTAGTGTTAAGTATATTTTAAGTAGAATTACAACAATTCTCTAATATTAGTTTTGTTTTTTTGTTTGTTTTTAGGGTATTTGAGGGCTAGTTTTTAGACTATTTAAGGTATTTGAGGGTATTTAGGATTTGTCCCAGTCAAATATATAGATATTACCTTCTCAATCAAAAGATAAAAATCTGTTTCACAGATATCTTAGCAACCTAGGTATCTTAGATTCCTTGTGAAACAAGGTGAAGACTACATAAGAATTTGAAATCTTAGAAAAACTTGCTCTGCACCAAGGATTTAATTTTGAGGACTAGTACATCCAATATATTCATGAACTGGATGATTCTCAAAACAGTCGGAGAGTGAAGAGAAACTTGGAGGGGCAGCCCAAAGCTGCATTCTGCTTAATGCAGCAGAGAAGCCTGGATCACATGCTTCGGGGCTTTCCGTTTCCCTTTTCTTGTTTTATTTCTAATATTTCCTCTCATACTATGTAGGTTAAGCCAGGCTTTTTACTTCACTCCTTTCTTTGGCAAGCAATTGCCCTTTGCCCTAGGCTTCCACTGCCAGTCTTCCAAACTAGAAAAACTAAAAGTAACAGCAGAAAAAAAGAAAAAGCAAGAACAGAAATTGCTCTAAAATCACTCATAGAATGTGGGCCCTGTATGGCACTGGAAGTGAGAAAAGGGGACATTAGGATGGGGGCAACAATGTCTCCTCCTAAAGGCACAGCAAGAAGCATGTTAAGGGGCATGGGATCAGCACTTTCAGTGGATATGGGAGAGTTTCAAAGATCTGCCTGAACTCCACCTAGAAATGAAAAGAACGGCCTCTTCGTGGCCAGTTGACTTTAAAACGAATGCAGAAGAACTTTACTAACATGAAATGATTTAACTGTAGTCCCTATTTCCATGTTTTTAAAGCTGTATAAAAATCCCAAGGAGAGAATCTCAGTAAGTTCTACATAGCACTCATCCTTCCCTCACTAGAAACACTGTAAGTTATTCGAGTGATTAAGCAGAGAGGGCTACTGGCATTTACTGCCCAGAAAGTTTTAACATCTTGATGCAGGAGTGACAGTTCATAAAACACTTGCCAAAATGCCAATAGGGCCTTCATCCAATAAAACTGACCCCAGCCAAAATATTTTCAATCGCCTCATATGCATGTGAAATCTGGATAATGAATAAAGCAGACCAGAGAAGAATTGATGTATTTGAATAGGGTGCTGGTGCCAGACGAACAAAGGAATCTTGAAGGAAGTGCATCACGAATACTGCTTAGAACAAAGCCCGCATGGCAGAAGCACACCAACCCATGTGATCATGAGGTGTCAGCAGGATCAGCTATCAGACAGCTGAAGACCCAAAACAAACAACCATTTTGATGCGAAGGAGCAGAATCAGAGTGGAGATCCAAAGCCCATCTGTAGACAACTGGACATCCCCTCACGGAAGGGTCACAAGGAAGGGATGAGCCAGCCAGGGTGCAGT